CTGGGCCGAAGGTATGTGGGGGGTAGGCAAAGGGCCGAGGGTCAGGTGGAAGGTAGTGGGAGAAGGCAGGGGTTCCGGGGCCCTTGAGACTTCTGGTCTCAGGCGCTGGCTTCACGGCAAACAGATCGGAGAGAAGCTGCTCTTCCCCAGACTCGATGTAGGCAGAGAGGTCAATGGAGGCCTCATGCTCACACATGTCCCCCAGCTCCCCGGGCCCAGCTCGGCCCCCTGAGAACTCAAGTGGCTGCTGGCCACCCCGGGGCTCACACTCGTAGTAGGTCCCGTGGGACATGGCCGGCCCGCCCCCTTGGCTCCCCGCCCCCACCTGCTCTCGAGGCAACCCTTGGGGTGCTCAGGCTGTCCTCTCTCTACGTCCTCCTGCCCTGGGCCTGCCCTCTCTCTACCTCCTGCCCTAGACCTGCCCTCTGCAGTCTCCTGTCATCCACTCCTGTGTGGCCTCTCTCCACCCTCTGCTCTGCTTCCTTTTCCTTCCTCTGTAGTCAATGCCTATCTTCTCTTCCCTTTTTTCCCCTCTCTCTCCTTGGGGTGACTCAGGGAGGGGCAGGACACACCCTAGAGGGAGAGATGTCAGCCTTAGAGAAAGGTGACTCCTGGCCTATTCCACAGTTGGGAACACTCCTTGGTCAGGGTCCAAGCCAGGGTTCTGGAGATGCCCGAAGCTGATGCTTCCCAGGGAACTCCAAATCCTTGCTGAGGGCAACACCCTACTCTGAGCGTCCTCCTCCCTCCAACTTCAATAAAGTTCTGTGCAGAGGAGGTTCCAAATTAGAGTGAAGAGAGAAACCCCTCTTCCAGTGCTGACCCCCACATGGGTCTCAGCTCCTCCCTCAACACTCCTTCCTCTGGGTCTCCCCTCCTGCTGGGCTCCACCTACCCACAAGAGACAGTTTCTTTTGTAGCCCCACCTCCAGATCATTCTCTGGGTGCAGGCCAGGAGTTGTTTTTTGAGGGGTCTAGGGAGCAGTGACAGGTCCTAGGAACAAGCCATGCATGGGAGGCTGTGTGGTGCTCCAGAATATGCTCATTTGCTGGGTTTTTGCAGGGGCTGTGCAGTAGCCCAAACATTTGTGTTTCCAGCTCTGGCTACCTCTAGCTGCCTGACATAGTCCCTAACTCCCTGGGCTTGGCTGAAGCACCTGGTCAGGACTTGGGCCTTGCACCCCAGACCCAGGCAGGCTGCTGCCCTCGGAACAGACAGCCGTAATCCTCTGGTAGCTCTAGTTAATTTCTCTCTTCCAGCTGCTCTATGCCGCAAGAGGCTCAGGCTGGCCCTCACCCTGGGCCTGAGGCTCTGCCTCTGGTTTCCTGTACTCTGAGCTGCAGGGCTGAGGAGCTTGCTGCAGCTCGTTTGCTGTCTTTCCTTTTGCATGGCCACTCTCTGACCTCCAGCGCGTGTCTTTTGGGTCTACTTCCTCTTGTGAGGTTTGAGAAGCCTCTTATGTCATCACCTCTTCCTGGGGCTCTGTTTTAGGGTCTCCAGGAGAAGCCCATGGGTCCCTCTCTGCAATTCTTGTGCTGGCTCCCCTCTTCCCTTTTCTCTTTCCTGTGGGAACTCCCCCTACCTCCTTTCAGAGACACCTGCTGTGGCCCTGCTTTTACCTGTTGAATTTCATCTCCCAAAGGGATTGTAGGTCCAGTGGGGCGGGGGTGGGGGGGGTGGGCGGGGAACAAAAATGACACATAGAAATGTGTTACTGGCTTTTTAAAAAAGTATTTTTATTTGAGATGGAGTCTAACTCTGTCACATAGGTTGGAGTGCGATGGCATGATTTCCGCTCACTGCAACCTCTGCCTCCCAGGTTCAAATGATTCTCCTGCCTCAGCCTCCTGAGAAGCCGGGATTAGAGGCATGTGCCACCACACCTGGCTACTTTTTGTATTTTTAGTAGAGACGGGGTTTCACCATGTTGGCCAGGCTGGTCTTGAACACCTGACCTTGTGATCTGCTCACCTCCGCCTCCCAAAGTCCTGGGATCACAGGCGTGAGCCGCCATGCCCAGCAGTTACTGGCTGTTTTATGACCAGCAAGTGCTGTGGGTGCCCCAGGCGGGGCCAGAAGTTTTGGTAAGTTGGGACCAAGGGCTGAGTCACTGTGAGTGGGGCACAGTGGGACAAGTGCAGAGAGGATGTGTGTGGCATTGAACATTAAAATATTAAAAATGTGTATTCTGGTTAGCATATTCCTTCCATCCTTCCTACCCCCACACCTAGCCCAGATGCTCTCTGCATGACTTGAGACGTGGCCAGATATGCTTTCTCTGAAAGCACAAGGACCTGGTGTGGGGAGGCCTGCGTGCATCCCAGAGACAGATCTCAGGAATTAGGGGGATTTCTCCATTTCAGAGCTGAGCTCTCAGTTTGGTGGCAGTGCTTCTGTTGACCACCAGGTGGTAATATTGGCCCCAAAATTTTGGACTTGGAGTGCGGCTGAGGTCCAGACTCAGGTGGACAGCAGAGGGCAGCCTCTGCAAGCTGCTGCCAGGCTGGAAGGAAGAAGAGGAAACATGGCTGGGATGGGGGCTTGCAGCGCAGTTACAAGGAGAATGGGCAGCCTGGGTCCAAGGCCTTGTCTCCATGAGGAGAAATTCTGTCCCTTCCCCTACTTTGAGATAATGATAATAAATAGGCCTTTTGCTTTCTGACAAATTAATGCCATTTCAATCCTCGAACATACAGTTTTTCATGCTCTTTCCCTGTGAGTTATGCAGGAAGGTAGACAAGGCAGAGAGTATTTTTATTCCTACTCTGTAAACAAGGAAAACAAGCATGAGAGGCTGAGCTGCCCAAGGTCATCCGAGGAGGATGCCTGGTTCATCTCTGGCTGAAGGGATTGGAAGGGGTTGCTATGTGACTCAGAGAACTACCCTGTCCCTCATTTGGCCACCATGGGGACGGGAGTGGGGTGAAGAGGGGAGACTGCATCAGTAGCTTAGTGAACTGGGCACAGGAGAAAACGAGAGGTATGCAAATAGAGCCGCAGGAAATGAGAAAGTCAGCAGCTTCAGCCATGGTGAGATAAATCTCCACCCTGGCCTCCAGGCTAGTGCTGACGTTGCTGGCACACTGACCTCAGTGTTTCCCAGTAACAGGGGTTTGGCTGGGGCAGGGAGGGCTTTGGATATCAGGGCAGGGTAGGGGAGCTCTGGACAGGAAGAGGAGGTGGTGGAAAGGCAGTGCCAGTCAGCAGCTGGGGGATTCTTGCTTAGGATAGGAAAAGAAGCCCTCCCATGTCAGCAGGATCATTCTTCCTTTGCCACTGCAGTTACTACCTGTTTGGATGAACTAAATGATGCATGTTTGTTATCTCAGTGACTTTGTAACAGGCCTCCTTCCAGGGCCACCCCCTTGGTGAAGCAGGACTTTCTCAGTAGGAAGGTAGCAGAGCATGGCTGTGAAGGGTTGGAGAGAACTGGGCTCAAATGTGGCTTCTGTCACTGGCCAGCTCCGTGACTCTGGGCAAGTTACTTGATCTTTCTTGCGAAGTGGCAGCAGTAATACCTCCTTCACAGGGTAGTTTAATTAAATTGTGAATAAGATAATGTATGTCATGCAACTGGGCTCAGTAAGTGTGGACTCTCCTTCTCTTCCTCTGGCCTCTCATTGTGGTTTTATCTGTGTCTGCTAAGCAGATGCTACCTAGTGTCTGGTGGGATGCGTCAGTTTGATGAGCATTTTTGAGCACGTGGGTACTAAGCACTGCACAGGATCTGGGGATGTGTTGGTTTAGCCCTTCCCAGTAGGGCTCACAGCCCAGCAGGAAGGCCCACAGGCAGTGGTCCCAACGTGGCATGGGTGGTCGGTGGAGCCAGGAAGCGCACACATTTGTGTGTCGTGCAGACTCTTGGCTTCGTTCCCCTGGCAACTATTTGCTCTTTGAGGGTAGCGTCACATCTTTTGGACCTCTTCAACTATGGTGACCATATTTCCTGAATTAAAATGAAGGACAGGCAGATTGACACACCTGAATATCCTTATGGAGACAATGGAAGAAAATACTTGAAGTCTGTGCTGACTTAGAAAAATTAGAAAAAAATTTTGCTATTTCCACAGCATATAACAAAGTCTTTGACAGAATGGTCACAAAAAGGTTTGTTGTGTGACCACATTAATAAATAAATGCAGAAGCAGCTACAATTTCAGTGACTTCCAGAATGTTCCCAAATTCGATAAAGCATGTGAAATTCCTAGCATGAAAGTAACTGACAGGGTTAGGACAGGAAATGCCCGGGTTAAACATAAATGCTTGTTGCCGAGGAGGAGCCCCACATTTGCCCATTTGATCAGGTTGAAAAGATCAGCAGGTGTCACAGAAAGAGAGGGTGGTCTTGAGCGACAAGTGCCTCTATGGAGCGAGAAGGGGTGTGGACAGGACTCGCTCACAGGGAGCAACAGGGAGGAGCCTGGGACAGTCCAGGGAGAGGAAAGGTGTGTGTGCTGGGGAAGTGGGGCCCAAAGAGCAGATGTGAGGATGGGACAAGACTGGCCTTTGCCTTTTGGGATAACCTAAAGTTGGAAGAGTCAGGAACTGTTTGAGATTAGGTCCAACTCTCAATCTGTCTCAAAATGCTAAGTGAGTGAGGTGACTTGCCCAAGGACACACAGCAGTTTAGTGGGCGGCCTCCCAGCTGGGCGTCCCTGTTGAATGTCGAGCTTCCAGCCTGTCTGGAGCAGGAGTGTTGGCGCCAGGCCAGGACCAGGAGTGGTGGCATCTTGCCTGCCTGTGTCCTCACAGTGTTCCAGATGGTGAAGGGTGATGTTTCAACACTGCTGCCCTCCACCACCCCCTTCCCCCTGCCCTGCCCTATATCTGTCAGCAACGATGCTGTCCCAGGACACGCAGCCAGGAGGGCAGCCCATAAGGACAGGGACACAAAGCAAAGACTGGGGCTAATCCCATCAACTTCCTCTAGCAGTTAGCCCCAAACGCCAGTAAGTACTTGTACTTACCTTAATGACTTCCTCCTTTTTCCCTGTCCTAGCCCAATAGTCCTCCTAGGCTTCCTCCTAGAGCTAACTCTTCTTCTCAGATGGCTCTGCCCAGCTGACTGAACCCAGCCTTACTTCCCAGGCCCTCCCATCAAGCTCCTCGGACCTGACTGTCTCCACAGACTTGGCTCAGACTGTGCTGGTGTGAGAAGCCTTTGCTGACCAGGCTCTGGGAGAACATCCAGCTTCCTTCAGCTTTTCCCTGTCTGTAGAGCCAATCTCTTCTACTCAGCTCTTTGGAACATGGATTCTGTTTCATGGAAGGAAGTGTTGCCTGATTCCCGGAATTACAGCAAACAACTGAGATGTGTAAATCTGTTGTCTTTTGGCATTATTTTTGGTTTGGAATGTGAGTCCCTAGGATAGCTAGAAGCTATGGAGAGCTTTTAGGACTGTCATTCTGGAAGGAATCTGGCAAGATCTCCTAAGAGGAAATGCCTGGTGACTCTGTCTCAAAAGGCCACTTAATCATCACCACCACCAACTTCGTTTCCATTTTAAATTTTATTACATCAAAAGAAAAAAAACTCTCCACAGAACAAATCTCTAAAACCTACACCAAGCAAAAGAAATTATCATTAAGGTTCTAACTCCACCCCCCAAAAACAACCTTACATTAAAAAATCCAAAAGAAATAGAAATACCGGCTTCAAAAATATTTATCCAAAAAGTAAGGCATCAACTTTACAAAAAAATAATAATTGAAGGAGGGGAGGAAGTTGGAGGAATGAGAAGAGAGGGAACAAGATGGTCCCTGACCCTCCAGGGCCAGCCCCAGCCTCTTGGGCGCGTACTCTGAAGGGGTCACAACTCAGACCAAACTCGGCATCTCACCAACTATGGGGTGGGCAAGCTGGGCAGGGAAGCTGGGAGACACCACCCGGGCCAGGAAGGGCACCTGTGTATTCCAGTTTAAGCAGACAGCATTGGGGGTTGGGGAGAGAATCGCATTTTGTGATAAAAGGATCCTAAGTCCTTAGTGCAGCAGGAGTGGCTGGGGAGGCTGCAGGGCCCACAGCAAACTCCATGGCCTTCCTTGGGAGCTCAGGGAAAGGTCAGAAGCCACCTGTCACAGAGGAGGGCCTTTTCTGAGGACCTCCAGAGTGGGCTTCCTGCTGTCACTGCCCTGTCATCCTGCCCCTGAGACCTGCAAAGAGGGAGGAGCTATTGGAGTTGGGGACTGATGGGAGAGGAACTGGCCTTTAGCCAACGCTCTCCCCAGGATATGGAATGGGTACCTCTGGGGATGGGCAAGCGCCCTTCCTCCCAAGGAAGGCATTTCATATCAGATCTGTCTTGAGGGTTAGAAATAGGGGAGTATTTTTAGGCCCAGTTCTTGGATGGGAGGTGACTTAAGGCTGATTTGGCTCCAATCTCAGGCCTGAAGGGCTTGGGGATCCTTCACACCCGGTCCCAAGCCAAGGCCCAGGGAGGAGAAGGGCATGGTGGGGACGGCAGTGCTGGCTGTGCGGGTGTTCGGGGCATAGCCATAGGGATAGCAGGGGACTGCTCCTGCCCTGGGTGGGCGGGGAGCTGGAGTTGCTGAGCGGCTTCATCATGAGATGCCTACTACACTAAAAATCAGAAGCCTTTCTGGCCTCTAGAAGCTTTGGCATCATGTTGGGGGCAGTATGCAGGAGGCAGGGGCAGGGGCAGGACTGGGTTTCTGCAATCTGAGCCTTTCTCAATATGTTCCTCAACCAGCCTAGCTTGGGTCTGGTGGGGCCGTTCTTCTCCTTGGTCCTTACCTCTGGGAGGTGGCGTCCTGAGGGGAAGCGAACTCTGGACAGGGAGCCCAGGCTGGGGTGGGTGCAGGTATGATGGGGAGGGGCAGGAAAGAGGGCAGAGGGAAACATCCCCTTGGATTTTGGGTCCCTGGTGAACAGATAGGGTCTTGGGTCTCTCCAGCAGACCCCTTGATGGGGACAGAATTGCTTGAGCCTGTCCCTCCCCAAAGCAGCCCCTGTGGCCGCCTCTCCTTTCTGAAGGGGGCCTCCCTGGGAGGGCAGGCAGTAATGAGCTCCGGTTCCTGAAGAGGCAGCTGAGGGCGCAGCCCGGAGGGAGGTCCTGCAGGCCATCCTTGGCATCTCCCCTCTCCTCCTGCAGGTGGGATCATGGGCAGCACTGGGTGGGGCCTGGGACATGGGCCCTGGGGCGAGAGGCTGGTTCTTTGGGTATGAATGTCAGTTTTTGTTTACAGTTTCTCACCACTCACACCCAGGTCCTATCACTGCCTGATGAAAGTAGAGAAAGGGGTGTGTGTGTACTTGTGTGTGTTGTGGGGACCCAGGCAAGGAGGTAGGATGGAAGCGGGAGAAAGGAGAGAGTAGCCAGCTGAGGGATGGTGGTCCTCAGGGCTGGGGCTGCCCCGCCATGTCCTTGTCCTTGTGGGGAGTGGGTTGGTATATGGGCTGCTGCTGCTCCTCCATGTCCTCATGAGTCTCCTCTGTCTCTGAGCCCCTCTCCACCTCGGGGTACACGACCACACACATCTTCTGGCTCACCAGGGTTAGCAGCTCTGTGGGAGGAGATCACACAGAAACCAGGCCAATGCTGAGCATCCCACCAACCCGGCCAAGCGGCCCTGGCCCTTCCCAGCTCTCCCGCCCCAGATTCTGCCTCCTCAGAGCAGTCAGTGCCTTGAGGGGAATCCTCGCCACCTGGTCTGCCTCTTGCATCTTCTATCAGCTGCTCTTTGCTCATGAAAGCCCCAGTCTTCCACCTTCCCTGTGCCCACTGACCCCCAAGTCCAGGGTCTCCGCTGGTCTCCACCCAGCCTGGAGCAGCTCTCACAGGATGGCTGACAGGTTGCCTATGTTATTTAAATATTTGTATTAATAGAGGTGGGGTCTTGTGATGTTGATCAGGCTGGTCTCAAGTCCTCTGTCTCAGCCTCTCAGAGTGTTGGGATTACAGGCGTGAGCCACTGTGCCCAGCCCAGGTTGCCAATTCTTGCAGGTCTAAGGTCTGTGTAGAAATGCCAGCTGTTCTCCCTAAGTGGTCTCTGGGAAAAGTCATCTGCTTCCCCTGCTCTGAACTTCTCCAGAGCTCTGTGGACTGAGAAGGCAAGCCTAGGCCTCCTGACCCTGGAGGCTCCCCTGCCCCATCACTGACCACTGTATTCCAGACCAGGAGGCCCTCAAGCCAGCCAGGGCCTCCAACAACTCACCAATGAAGTCACTGAAGCACTTGGGCTTGTGTTGCCAGTAAACACCGAGGAAATAGACAGGCACTCCTGTCAGCATGATGGCCAGGCCAATGCCACACACCACAGGCTCCGACCATAGGCTGAAGACCAGCAGGAAGGCCCAGAACAGCAAGTAGATGATGGGGAACAGCAGGTTGATCTGTGGAGCAGAGGCAGGAGGCATGTGAATGGTGTAGGCCCCATGGCCCCCCGGACTAGGGACTGGGCATTCTCTCTCTTCTTCACCCACAGAGACACATCCTCAAGGGCAAAGGCTGGACTTCCTTCAGCTCTGTGGCTCCCATACCCATCCCTTATAGGGCAGGGTCTATATCAACAAATGTTGATGAACATGGGTAGTCAGACAGGAAGAGGATGGGGAGGGGCTAACGAGGAAAGGATCCTCCTTGCCCATGTCCTTGCTCCTGAGTGTGATTAGACAAGGTCTCATCATGCATGTCATGTGCCCAGGGCAGCCAGAGAAGCCCATAGAGATAGAGAAGCTTGCTGGTACAGGGTGTGTGTCTGCTGAGGTCCTAGGGTGGAGGGGAGGTGTAGCAATGCACAAGGTGCAGAGAGGAGATGATCCAAGTCACTCAGGCTCCCTGCTCCTTGCCCACTTCTATGCAGGGCCCTTATGTGGGCACAGCATGGCAAATGCCAGCCCCTTATGGGCCACATGTCGGGAGTTCCTGAGAGTCTCTTCTTCATGGCTCCAGGGGAAGTCCTGATTTGGCTGCCTTCTCTTCCTTGTCTTCCTCATTGAGAAGGGATGTACGTGATGGGGACATGGGGTTATTCTACCGCCTCTTCCCTCTAGCAGGTTTTCTAAGAGTGAGAGTAGAAAATGGCGGTGGAAATGCCAGTAAGGAACTGACAGATTTAGAGAGCCTTTAATTTTTCAGCTGGAAGAATCTAGAAGCATCTAGTCGCTGTTTCTACAATAGGATTGTTCAAATAGTTCCAGAGTACACTCTATTCTTCTAATTTGTAGAACTCACAATGCTTTAACATGTCTTGTTTCAAGCAATCCCATTAATTCCTATCATAGAGTTATATCTTGTAGCAATATTAGGTTCACTGAGCACCCTACTACGTGTAGGGCTGTGGGAGTTTAAAAAGAGAAGATCATGGAAGGTTGCAGTGGATTGGAAAACTTCAAGAAAGAGGAAGTACTTGAGGCCCATTTGGAAAACTGTTAAAATTTAGATGGGCAGTTGGGAAGAGGAAACTCATTCTGGGATGGAGACACAGCACAGAGCGAACCCAGCTCTCTGGAGGGACAGGGAGGAAGTGCTGGGGAGATAAGAGAGCCTTGAAAAATCAGCTGGAGTTTAAGGCTTAGACTGGTAGGAAACAAAGGAATGACATGATGAAAGTAACATCTGTTCTGACTTATTCCCCAGCTGCAGTCTGCTCTGGTCTTGTCGCCAGTGGAGAATGGAAATTGTGGTCCCATTCACACATGGCCCTTGCTTCCCAAAGGATCTGCTACCATCTGAGCAGCTAAGAACAGAGGTGATTTAAAAATCTGAGCTGCAGCTAGAACCACAGAGAAAGGGGAGGGGACCCCAAAGGGAGGTTCTCTCACCTTGATGGGACGGGGGATATCAGGCTTCTTCCAGCGAAGGACTATCTGTCCAGCAACCGTGACCCCATAGAAGAGGTAGTTGATGAAGCCAACATAATTGATGAGTGTGTACATGTCACTGGTGACCAGCATCAGCAGGGTGGAGATGCACTAGGGAAGTGGGAGGAGCTCATCAGTCATCAGAAAGATATTCAGAGACTGGTATTATAGATTAGGGGCTGTCCCCCAGCATCCAGGCAGACGATGCCATTGTATAATGGATGTTTCGAAATGGAGACTTTACAACCTCCCCTAGTAACTCAGGATGTTACAACATCTTTATTGCTAGGAAGTTCTTATTACAGGGGTGATAATCCAAATATTTAACCACTGGTATGGTACAGGCACTAACCAATCAGAATGGATACTGGCCATAAGCAGCCAGACTGGCCACACTGGTATTAGCTGGCTCGGTGTCAGTCCCCGTCTCATTTTTATAGCTCAAGCAAACTTTATTTTTTAAAGTCCCTTAGGGAAGATTGTTAACAGCAGATTAAGGCTTTATTCTTGCCCTCATCCTTTTCTCCTGGCTGAGTCATCTATTTTTCTTCCTTTTCTTTATTAATTTCAAAACTGGTTACATAGCACTTACTGTGTGCCAGGTCCCTATTTTTAGCATTCTGCAAAGATTAACTCACTTAACCCTTATAACATCCCTATGAGGTTTTCTTGACAGAGTTCCTTTTCCAACTTCAAAATCATCCCTGTGGCTCTCCTGGAACCATGCTTCTCCCTTCTGATAACTTGTGAAGGTCAACAACTGTGAGAGCTGAGAGTTAAAATAATAGAGATGGTTCTTGTGGCCTTTGCCTTCTACTGCACCAATAGCTCTAACCGGGAAAAAAAAAAAGTGTGTCCCCCGCTGGGAGTACTGCCTTCTCCAGCCACCTTCCACAAGCAGCCAGGCAAGGTGACCTTCATCCTGCATCTGCGCATTCTGCAATTCCCCCAATGCTGCACAATGCTCTTGACTCCCAAGAGCTCTGTTATTTACATTTCTAACTGCTTTGCCAGTGGACCAAAGTCATTTTTAGTGTTTTATTCAGGATCCAGAAGGAAAATAAAAATAACTTAAAAGACTATGGGGACAAGTCTTTGTTCCTTCCTTTAGCTCTGTCTAAACGATTCTACTCTGGGGACATTTTACTCCCATCTCTTTCCTGTCCCAAGTGTCCTTTTCACAATTTTCAGTTTATCAGTCTTCCTCTATGACTTTTCTTATTTGGTGTACCCTTAACACTTAAGTTCATTTCGGTGATGCTTGCCAAGAGACTGGCAGGCTGCCCTGAAGCTTGATGGGGAGAGTGGGTGCGTGCAGGGACCAGCCGGGAGCAGAGGCCAGTGCTACAACCCTGCAGTAATAGGTGTGAGGAGAGTCAAGGGAGACATAGTTTTTTGAGGCTGTTGAATCCTGAGGTAGTCAGTTCAGGCTGACCCAAAAGGATGGGCGAATGGAAATAAGTCAGCCCGAGATCCTTTGGTATTTCAGGACTCAGGATCTTCCCTTGCTATATCTCTTGATATTAACAAAGCTGATGAGTATCATTTGCCAGATCATCTAGATCCAATTAGCCCTAGCAGCAGACTGGAAGGGTAACAGGGGTGTGTGTGAAAAGCTTGAACTCCCAGCTTAGACTAGGCAGAAAGAGAGGGAGGTGTGTGGACAGTTACAGCAGGAAGGGCCCTTACTGTGAAAAGCAGGGCTGGGATTGGGGTGCAGCGCTTCACGTGGATCATGGCCAACACACTGGGAAGGTGGCCCTCTCGGGCTCCAGCGAAGAACAGCCTGGCAGGTAGAAAAGCAGATCAGCCTGGGATAACCCATGGACCACCAAGCCCGAGCTCCTTCATCCACTATCTTCTGACCACACAGGGGCATCCCCCCTCCAACCAGGTACCTGCCTTCACATGCATACTTTCCACCTCACCAGTCACAGAACCTGTGTGACAAATGCAGGTGCAGGCAAACCAGAGGCAGCCAGTGGAAAAGTGGATGAACCCCGGTTATGTGAGCCCCTGAATGTGGTATGGGTGGCTCAGGGTTACTGATGATTGTACTGTCACTTAGTAGGGTGCTCCCAATGCCCAGAAGGCTGCAGGAGCAGCCTCTGTCTGTTGCCTGAAGTCTTCATCTCTTTAAAAGCATTCCTCACATCCTCAAAGGATGCAGATTCCCCGATACACTCGGACTGAACTGCATATGGAAAGCTTTAAAAACACTCTTATCCTGCTCAAAGAGTAGTTGTCTCTGTGGGAGCAGGGTATTGTTGGCGGAAATGTTCTATATCTTGCTTTGGGTAGTGGTTACATGGCTGTCTACAATTGTGAAAATTCATCAAACTGAAGTCAGGTGCAGTGGCACACAATTATATTTCCAGCTATTTGGGAGGCTGAAGTAGGAGGATTGCTCAAAGCCAGGAACTCAAAGCCAGCCTGGGCAACACAGTGAGACTCTGGCTCTGGAAAACAACAGTAAAAAACAAAAACGAACAAACACAGATAAAAATATCCCTATAAAACTCATCAAAATGAACGTTTATGATCTGCTTTTTTGTTTTTGAGATGGAGTTTTGCTCCTGTTGCCCAGGCTGGAGTGCAATGGCGTGGTCTTGGCTCACTGCAACCTCTGCCTTCCGGGTTCAAGCGATTCTTCTGCCTCAGCCTCCCAAGTAGCTGGGATTACAGGCATGCGCCACAACACCCAGCTAATTTTCTATTTTTAGTAGAGACAGGGTTTCTCCATGTTGGTCATGCTGGTCTCGAACTCCCGACCTCAGGTAATCTGCCCGCCTTGGCCTCCCAAAGTGTTGGGATTACAGGCGTGAGCCACCGCACCCGGCCTATGATCTGCTTTTTTCAGAAAATAGAGGCAGGGTCTTCTCATGTTGTCCAGGCTGGTCTTAAACTTCTTGGCTCTAATGATCCTCCCACCTTGGGTTCCCAAACTGTTGGGATGACAGGCATAAGCTACCATACCCAGCCTGCATGTTTTATGGTATATAAATTGTACTTAAAGTTTATATCCTGTCTTGTGGGACTGAGTTAAAAAAATTTATATCCTGGCTTGGATATATCCTGTCTCAAACAGCTGTAATCCCAGCACTTTGGCAGGCTGAGGTGGGAGAATCATTTGAGCCTGGAAGTTCAAGCCTGGGCAAAATAGCAAGACGCTTGTCTCTACAAAAAATAAAAATAAAAAAAATTAGCCAAGCATGGTGGCGTGTGCCTGTTGTTCTAGTTACTCAGGAGGCTGAGGTGGCAGGATTATGTGAGCCTGGGATACTGAGGCGGCAGTGAGCTGTGACTGTGTCACTGCACTCCACCCTAGGGGACAGGGTGAAAACCTGTGTCAAAAAAGAAAAAGAAAAAAACATGGAAATGTCCTAAGTGCCTAAAAATAGGAGGTTGATTAAATAAATTTGGCATATGATGGAATGTTATGGGCTGGGCAAGGTGGCTCACGCCTGTAATCCCAGCACTATGGGAGGCTGAAGTGGCTAGATCACCTGAGATCAGGAGTTCAAGATCAGCCTAGCCAACATAGAGAAACGCCGTCTCTACTAAAAATACAAAAATTAGCCAGATGTGGTGGCAGATGCCTGTAATCCAGGTACTCGGGAGGCTGAGGTGGGAGAATCACCTGAACCTGGGAGGTGGTGGTTGCAGTGAGTTGAGATCATGCCACTGCACTCCAGCTTGGATGACAGAGTGAAACCCTGTCTCAAAGAAAAGGAACATTATGTAGTCACAATGTTTTTGAAAAAAACTGATTATATGAGAACATGCTTACAATATAGCATCAAATGAAAAAACAGGATAGAAAACTATAATGCATAAAAGATTTTATTTTTCCTTCAATTGTGAAGCTTAGTTTGGCAGGATATGAAATTCTGGGCTGAAAGTTCTGTTCTTTAAGGATGTTGAAAACTATAATGCAAATTAATTTTTTTTTTTTTTTAGACACAGTTTTGCTCTGTCGCCCAGGCTGGAGCACAGTGGGACAATGATGGCTCACTGCAGCCTTGACCTCCCAAACTCAAGTGATCCTCCTGTCTCAGCCTCCCAAGTAGCTGAAACTATGGGTGTGCACCATGACATCTAAATGCCAATTAATTTTAAGATTATTTATGGGTCTGTAAAATACATTAAAATGCTAACTGATTATCTCTGGGTGGTGAAATTATGATTAACTTTAATTTTCTTCCTTATACATTACAGAAAAATTTGAAAGAATTCTAAAATGCAGTCTGGACAACATGGTGAAACCCCATCTCTACAAAAAAATACAAAAATTAGCCAGGTGTGGTACAGCATGCCTGTAGTTCCAGCTACTAGGGGGCTGAAGTGGGAGGATCACTTGAGCCTGGGAGGTTGGGGCTGCAGTAAACTGTATTTGTACCACTGCACTCCTGCCTGGGTGACAAAGTGAGATCCTGCCCCCCCAAAAAAAAAAAAAAAAAAAAAAAAAGGAAAGGAAAAAAATGAATAAAATAGATGGAATGTTTATACTCAGAATAAGGATTTTTTTAACTTTAAAAAATTAAACTTTTTATTTTTCCAATTTTTAGAGATAGGGTCTTGCTCTGTTACCCAGGTTGGAGTAGTGTCGATTAAAGCTCACTGCAGCCTCCAATTCCTCTAGCCAAGTAATCCTCTAGCCTCAGCCTCCTGAGTAGCTGGCACTGTACAGATCACCATGCTCAGTTAACTTAAAAAAATGAAACGTTTTGGGCCGGGCATGGTGGCTCATGCCTGTAATCCCAGCACTTTGGGAGGCCGAGGCGGGTGGATCACCAGGTCAAGAGATCAAGACCCTCTTGGTCAACATGGTGAAACCCCGTCTCTACTGAAAATACAAAAATTAGCTGGGCATGGTGGTGCGTGCCTGTAATCCAGCTACTCGGGAGGCTGAGGCAGGAGAATTGCCTGAACCCAGGAGGCAGAGGTTATGGTGAGCCTAGATCGCGTCATTGCACTCCAGCCTGGGTAACGATAGCGAAACTCCATCTCAAAAAAAAAAAAAAAAAAAGAGACTTTTCATTTTGAGATAATTATAGATTCACATTGAG